GGAATACTCACCTCTAATGACCTAAGTGCTAGAGCACACTGCAACTACATAGCCAAAAAGGCATTAAGAGTTGTTAATCTAATCCTATGTAGCTTCTTCTCTGGTAATATTACACTACTAACTAGAGCATACAAAACATTTGCTAGACCTATACTTGAATGCAGCTCATCAGTCTGGAACCCACATTACGTATCTTTGAAGGTTTTTCTTTGAAGACATCTTCAAAAGAAAAGAAAAAAACAAGAAACTCCAGTGGCCTCCTGAAAAAAGCACCTTTGGAACAACCATGACCTGGAGGACTGAGAATCTCTACGGACTTTTAGCTATACAATTTGGGATGAACCCCCTTGGAATGATGTAGGAGTAGGAATGGATTTCCAGAAGAAAAATTGCAGACTATGGGAACCAGAAGCACCGCTCAGGTGACCCTGAGAATACAGATAAACCTCCAAGTGGCCTCAGTGACCCTCCAAAAGGATGCAAAGGACCAGCTGTCTGCAAGGAGTACAAATCCGTCCCTCCCCCATCATCCGGTCAGAGCTGAAGAAGCTTCTTGGATGAGAAACAAAATGTCTTCAAAAGAGAAAAAAAAACAAGAAAGTCCAATTGCCTCTTGAAAAAAGCACCTTTGGGACATCGCTACACAGTGTCAGCTTTGGAAACCTTATTCAACGCTGCCACATAGCTTGAGAAAGTGGGAGGGGGGCGATTTTAATTGAGCAGCTCTTAGTAGACAAAATAGAATTCTTTTTGTTAGTTCAAGGTCATGGAGTGTGGCGCAGGAACAAAAAGGAACTTCCTTTGGGATTGGTCCATGTGATGTGACGATGAGGGGGAAAAAGGGATGGTTTGCAGTTTGGGACATTGTGGGAAGTCCGGGAAACTTTTAGTTTCGAGATTCCACGGATATGCCAGGTGCTATTCTAATAAAGGTACTTTTGATATGATGCCTGTCTCGGAGTGACTGATTGGAGTGGAGGTTCCCTGGAATGCTGACACACAGATTCATTCAAGGAAATGACTTGATCAAGTGTACCGATTCCCAACCGATGCCCGCAAGGAAGACTTTAAGGGGTTAATTTGCCCCTTTGTATCAGACATCAGTCTCTGGCAGTGATTTATGCTTCGGGATTTGATCTGTAGGTTGGATCTGACTTTCCGGATTTTATCTTGAGAACTGATAAAAAGAGTCCCACAGGGTTGAAACCTTCCAATGATGGACAATTCTTTGGCCTCCTCAGAGGGTGAAAAGACAGGCATGGAAACGAGATGGCCGAAACCTTTGGTCAAAAAAGGATCACAGGTAGTTCTCCACTTCCGACCTAAAATTTTGTTGCTAAGTGAGACATTCGTTACGTAAAATTTGGCCCATTTTATGACCTTTCTCTGCCACAGTTATCCAGTGGGTCGATGCAGTGGTTAAGTTAGTAACGTGGTTGTTAAGTGAATCTGGCTTCCCCATGGACTTTGCTGGTCAGAAGTTTGCCAAACGGAATCATAGGATACTGCAACCGTCATAAATATGAGTCAACTGCTGTTGTGGACTAGCTGTACAGACCTCCCAAGTCTCATTTTGGCTATGGGACCCACCAACCTCAATGGACTGTTTTGACTCCTATGAAGCAATTTTGGAAAGGTTGACTGCAGGGTCTCTGGTGACCCTCTTGCGTAGACAGTCCTAGAATTACGGCCGTTCGTTTAGCGACCGCTCAAAGTGACAACAGCACTGAAAAAAGTGGCTTGGGTCCATTTTTTTACACCTACGACCATCGTAGCTTCCCCCCTTGGTCATGTGATCAAAATTGGTGTGATGACCCCAGGACAAGGCAGGAAGGCCACACAGCCAGCTGAGAATTCAAACTCCCCTTTAATGCTCCAACGTTCCCCCAAATGCTCCCACGTTCGTGGCAAGTTCCAGAGCAAAGCACACACACACACACACACACACACACACAGAGCAGCCTCTGGCCGCGAGCAGTCCAGCCAAGCAAAGGAACAGGGAAATGAATCCATGAAGCAAGGAATAAGGGACTGAGTCCATGAAGCAGAGAACAAAGCAAGGAGTCCACGAAGCAAGGAAGGCAGGCAGTCCTGCAAACGCCAGACAAAACGCCACTAATTCAGGTTTTTTTTTTTTCCCCCACAGCACCTCCTTAAATCTCAGTCCCCAGGTGTGCCTTGTGAAGAGGGGTGGGATGCTCTCCTCCCGAATAATCGGGTCAGCCTGTGCTGTTCCCACCTTTTCTCCGCTCTCCGTGCTCGGGGATCAGGAGGGGGGCAGTCCTTGCTCATCCCTCATCGGAAATAAGGAGAAACTTTTTGACAGGGAGAACCATCAACCCACGGAATAGAAGTTGCCTTTGGAAGTTGTGGGAGCTTCATCCCTGGAGGCTTTCAAGAAGAGACTGGACTGCCGTCTGTCAGAAATGGCGTAGAGCAGGGGTCCCCAACCACCGGTCCGCGGACCGGTACCGGTCCGGGGAACAAGTCCTACTGGGCCGCTGGTTTGCTGGGCGCCGCCATCTTTTTTTTGATGAAAAAGTGCTTCCGGTGAGCTTTTCCGGGTAGAAAGCTCACCGGAAGCACTTTTTCATCAAAAAAAGATGGCGGCACCTAGCTGATGCCGGTACCGGGCCGCGGCGCCCAGCTGATGCCGGTACCGGGCCGCGGCATAAAAAAGGTTGGACACCCCTGGCGTAGAGTCTCCCGCTTGGGTGGGGGGCTGGACTAGATGACCTACAAGGTCCCTTCCAACTCTGATTATCGGTTATCTGCCTGAACTCTGTCACTCCTCACGTCCACTGCTTGCCCTCTCTCGCTCATCCTGCCTCCCTTCCTCCCTGCTAACAAGCCGTCCCAATCCTAAGGGGCCCTGGGCTGCCTCGTCCTGCTCCTCCCCCCATTCCTCCGAAGCCGCCCCCTCCATCTCCAGCTCCTCCTCTTCTGCAGATTCAGGCTCTGACAGGAGCATGACAGATGGTTGAAGCGTCCTGGGGTCACGTAATCCGTTGTTGTGACTTTCCCACAAGCAAAGTCAACAAGGAAGCCAAATTCACTTTAACAACCAGGTTGCTAACTTAAACTGCAGTGGTTCGCTTAACAGCTGTGGCAAGAAAGGTCCTAAAATGGGGTAAAACTCACTTAACGTCTCACTGAGCAACAAAAAAAGTTGGCTTCCATTGTGGTGGGAAGTCAAGGACTTACCTGTGTTACGTCTATGAAGCATGTGTCTGCCATGAAATGGATGTATCCTCCTAAAATGCTTCAGTCAATTGTCTTCATTTGAACAGGAAGAAAGAGTTGAAAGTATTACAGAACTTTGTGCTCACAAACCTCACTTTGATCGTGATCTGTTTTGTTTTCAACCCTGAAAAAATAATTTCTGCTCAATAATTTGACAGCGTGAGTCACCTGTCAACGCTGGGATTTTGGAATTCATTCAGAAACTGTTTGCAGTTCTTTTCTTTTCTTTTTAAAAAAAGTCATGTTTTCTAGCGCATCTCAATCCCCCACCTAGTGGCTGTGGGGCAGAGAACACCATTCCGACCAAGTAATTTTTTTATTTTTGGGGGGAACAATAAATCTTTCTTGCATCCGAATGTGTGAGATTGTAAATGGTAAGAGAAGCAGAAAAGACACTGAGGAAGAAAACTGGGAAGTGAAAAAAATGAAAGAAAGCATCAACAAGATCTCCAGCCTCAATTGGAATGCTAAAGGACACCTGGGGATAGGTAATAACTTAAGGAAACCAAAAGGAAAAAGTACAGGAAGTCCTCAATTCATGATCATTATTGGACGCCATACTTGCATTGCTAAATAAGGCATTAATTAAGTGAACTGGGCCCCATTTTATGACTTTTGCCAGGTAAGTGAATTACTGAAGCTGTTAAATGAATGACTGCAGTTCTGAATCATGCAGCTTTTTAAGTGCATTACTGAAGTTGCAGAGCCAACGAAATAAGACAGAAACCTGGCAAAGTGACAGAAGAACCTCTAAAGGTACGAGCCACACTAGGCCAGCAAATCTGGAGACCACCACGCAGGTCAACAGATTGGAAGAGAGTCCAACAGACATTCCAATATGACAAAAAGGAGACTTTCTATTTCATCTTTTGTGTGTCTTATCTGTATGACCAACTCCACCTGGAAATGCCCAAGCTGAAAGGTGTGACTTTTTGCAAGCAATGCCTCCTTTGAGGGCAAAGGCTTAGTGTAAGCAGCCCAAATGCACAATCTGGTCCATAGAAAATCTAGATTGGCTCATGAAAAAAATTGGTCTGGGCTTCGGTGGCACTTTTAAGCAGTTTATTCTTTCCTTATCTCACGCCGGTCGTTTCTTTGGTTTTCACGCTTTCTGGAATCTTGCACGATGTTGCAGAATACAAGTCAGTAGAATGTCGGGCTATGTATAGGTTTACTATGAGGATACAAATTGGAAGGTATCGGCTTAATGTACAGGAGGACCTAAGGCAGTGTCTCTCAACCTTGGCCGCTTTTACGACGGGTGGGCTTCAATTCCCAGGATTCCCCAGCCAGCACAAAGCATGAAGGCCGCCCACCTTTCAATTGGCCAAGGTTGAAGGAAAACTGCTCTCGGTTGTAAACTGTGAGTTACAAATGTCTGTAGAGATTCATCCAGGTCACAGTTGTCCCAAAGGTGCTTTTTCAGGAAGCAATTGGACTTTCTGATTTTTTTTTCTTTTGAAGACATTTCGCTTCTCATCCAAGAAGCTTCTTCAGCTTGGATAGAATGGTAGGGAAGGGAAGGACTTATGTTCCTTGCAGTCCGTTGGTCATTTGCATGCTTTTTAGAGGGTCGTTGAGGCCACTTGGAGGTTTATCTGTGTCCTCAGGGGTCACCTGAGTGGTGCAAATGGTTCTGTCAGAGCTGAAGAAGCTTCTCAGATGAGAAGCGAAATGTCTTCAAAAGGAAAAAACAAACAAACAAGGAAGTCCAGTTGCCTCCTGAAAAAGCACCTTTGGGACAGTGGGTTGGTTACAAACCACAAGTTTCAAGCTGGCTTGAAGGGAAAAGGGTAAGACAAACCTACCAGAGCTTGAATCTGTAAGCTTAAGATTGCCAAAGCTCTGTGCCAACGGCATAGGAACAGGACAAGGACCCACAAGAACAGGGCAAGCTTGAAAAACACCTTTTAATGGTACCCAAGAGACTGGATTCCACCGTTTCTCATAGGCCCAAACTCACACCACGAGAATCCGAGCCCTCGTAGCTTCCGACAGAGGATCCTTCTCCCAAGGGCTGCTGCTTCTCACATCCTCAAGGATCAAGTCCCTCAAGTCAGCTGGAACAATTCGGAGCTCCCATTGGTCACCCTTGTTTTTTGGCAAAAAAACCTCCACCCTTTTTTTGTAGCCTAAAGTGCTGATGCACCGAGGTGGGGAGGAAAAGGCTCGGCAGCTGTGGAGGACAGAACCGCTTAGAGAAAAATACAATCCAACGTTAGGTGGTCCATCTTCAGCAGTTTTGGCCAGATCTTCCTCCTCAGAGGCTGAGTTGCAAACAGGGAGGAGGCTGGGCGAATTGATGCTCTTCAATTGGGGAATGAATCTTCCCACCACCGAAGTTCCTCCTGCCTCCTTTCCTGTTTTTAAGCCGCTATTCCCTATCCCACACACCTTTGGCACAAGGCTCCTTCTCCATTTCGCCCCTGTCCAAATGCCAGATCCCCTCCCTCCCTCTCCTTTTCCTCTGTTCTGGCAGACAAAACAGCCCCTCATCTCCCTACGCCAACAGGCAGGCAATGCCTGTGTTGGGCAGTCCCCGCACCCCACTTCTGCCAGCCTGGAAATATTTAAAATAATTAAATATTTTAAGTCTCGCAGCCTAATCCTTTGGCCTGTCTGGTTTGGGTGGTTTCATTCTTCGAAACCTGTCTCGGCTGCCTCGGTTTCCCCAGAGCTGGCTAGAGATGGGGGAGTACTTACAAGCTGGGGTGTGTGTTTGTGTGCGTGTGTGTGTGTGCAAAGATTATAGCTTTTAATGGATCCCAGGAACAGGGAGTCTGTTTCCTGCCCCTGCAGTGATGTTCTTGCCTTTTGTCTTCTCTCTCCGTCTTTCTAAGTTTTCAACTTCCTTATTCCGCCATCAGCCGATCCGTTTCCCTCTCTCTTTTCCCAGATCTCTTCCTCCTTCTTCTTCTTCTTCATCATCTCCGTCTTCTCATCCGAGGGATGGGCACGTAAGCCCAGAGCACTCTTCCCCCACCCCCACCCCAAAAATGGACCAAGGTCCGCGTTTCATTTCTGCTGAGGCTCGTCCGCTACGGTGGTGACCTCAATGGTCGTGTGCTCTTCCGCGGCCGAAGCGCCGTCCACCACACTGGACGGCAAAGCCAGGATTGTGCTGCCCCCGGGAGACATCTGCGTCACATTCTGGATGGCCGTGCCCAACCCGGGCAGGGTGAGCAGCTGGAAAGGGCTGACCACCTTGACCACCGTGCTGCTGTCCTGGATGGCCGCGGTGCTCAAGACGGTGAGGTTGGAAGCTTCGGGGTGGATTTCCACCGTGTTGGGGAAGGCGGAACCCGCCGAGGCCAAAATGGTGTATCCGCCCAGCAGCTGGGAGGCGGGAGAGCCGGCTGACGTCACCTGGGTGGCGGCCTTTCCAAAAGCAGACGCCGGGAGGGCGGAGAGCACTTTGCCGAGGGGCAGACCGGCCAGCTGGGTGATCGGCATGCCCGGAGCCAGAGCAATCTGGGCTGACTGAGTCAGGACTTGGGAGGTGATGGCTGGCGGTCCCGAAGTGGCCCGGGTCAGCCTGGGGCGTTTCAGAGGAGACGGGATGGAGACGGGCGTCAAGGTCATCAGCACGTTGTTGAGGTGCTGGGATTTGTGCTTCAGCTCCTTGGCTCTCTTGCGGTGCTCGTCACACTGCTGCTCCAGGGCTGGAGATGGGAAAGGGGAACCGGAGAGAAGAGCGTTAAGGCCACGGGGAGGAGGCAGGACGCCGGCACAGTCCAAAGGCTCTAAGCTAGACCGGACGTAGCCTCCTTACACCTTACACTGCACAGCATCTTTAACAGATTAACAGAATTGGAAGGGACCTTGGAGGTCATCTAGTCCAACCCCCCCCCCAAACAGGAGACCCTACACCAGTGGCCCCCAACCTTTTTTGTGCCATGGCCCGGTACCGGCATCACAAAATCATCCGCGGCCCGGTACCGGCATCAGCACGCATGGCAGGGCGAGCCGAGTGACCGACCGGCCAGCCAGCCGTCCCCCGCTTCTCCCCGCCACCTTCAACTCCTCCTTTGTACCTTTGTCGATGGGCTTCGGGACGGTCGCTCGGCTCGCCTTGCCTTGGGTCCTGAAGGAATCCTCGCGCCTTAGTTTCGTTCGAAGCCGCCCCCCCCCCTTCGATGAAACTAAGGCGCGAGGATTCCTTCAGGACCCAAACGCCGCTTTCCAACCAGAAAAGCTCACCGGAAGCACTTTCTCATCGAAACAAGATGGCGGCACCCAGCAAACCGGCGGCCCGGTAGGAAATGCTCCACGGACCAGTATCGGTCCGGCGCCCTGTGGTTGGGGACCCCTGCCCTACACCATTTCTGACAGGTGGGAGTTCAGTCTCTTCTTGAAAGCTTCCAGGGATGAAGCTCCCACAATTTCTGAGGGCAACTTTTGTTCCACTGGTTTACTGTTCTCACCAGGGTAGATAAAAATCAGTGAGTTAATTTTTTTAAAAAAAGACCAGATTTTTAAAAATTTAAATTGGATTTTTAAAAATTTAAATCAGAATTTTTTATTTTTATCCAATTTATTTTAATAAAATGCTTCTGGAGTAAACATCTATCTAAAGGTAGTTTTCTATTTAAGATACCGTACATATATAATTTAGTTTATTCACCATGAAATGGAGCTTAGTTATTTAGCATGAGGCTGTATATTCTGCAATGTTGGGACTGTTGGTGAATCAACAGCAGGCCAGAGGAGAAGCCGCTGCGGGACAAAGATGACAGTTACTCTTACAATTTAAATGGAGTGGATTTAAATCAAGCCTTTTTACTAGTGATTTAAATTAAATCATGAGTTAAATCTTGATTTATATCAACTTGAATTTAAATCAAATCCACCCTGGTTCTCAATGTCAGAAAATTCCTCTTTATTTCTAAGTTGAATCTCTCCTCGATCCGTTTCCATCCATTATTCCTTCTCTGGCCTTCCGGGGCTTTGGAAGTGCATCTAAGAGAGAAGGTGTGATTACAGGTAGCTTAGACTTACGACCTCAAGGGAGCCCAACATTTTTGTTGCTTAGCGAGACGGCGAAGTGAATTTTGCCCATTCTAGGATCTTCCTTGCCACGGTCGTTAAGTGAATCGCTGCAGCAAGGCTCGCTTAACAACTGCCTTGGCTTAGCGATACAGAGTTTGGGGCTCAGTTGAGGTCTTAAATCCAAGACTCGCTGTACCTTACTTAGTGACAGAACAGAAGGAGGACCAAGGAGACGGCACCTGCTAAGTCTCGCGTGTACTGCTTCCTGGAACGGTCCATTTGGCACTTGTGGCTGGCCAAAACTTTCTTCACCAGGTCCAGCATGCCAAAGTTCTGGACTGTGTTGTTCAGCAGGATGGCATCTAATGGAAACAACAGGATGAAAAAGCAAAACATGCTAATGGCCGACAGAAGGCATTTTATATACAGCGTGCCCCTCCAGAAAATCCACCCCTCTGTCTTATTGGCAGTGAGGGAAGGAAAGGAAAAGGGAGGAATTTTCATCCCTAGGGGCCCAATTCCTACAATTCCTCCTTCAAAATGAAGCCAATGTATAGCTGCCTTAGCGCTTCGATTTAAAAGCTTTCTTGAAGCAGAAGAGTGAAATAATGCTTTTATTTTTCGTACTTTATAAAGCCTCATATATACCTGAGATGGTGGGTGTGGAAAATTATGACACTGCCATTATTGGGTTTAATTATTTTTGTACAGGCTGTTGTGGTTCGCCGGCAGCCGGTGCAGACGGCAGAGTTATCATACAGTGAGGACGAAAGGGAACCAATCCAGGGAGGCTGGAGAGGACTCAGACGAGGGTCCAGCGCCCGATGCAGGGATGAGGCCAGGACCATCTGGGAGTGGGATGCTGCCTCCGGAGCCTGCAGCGAGCAGCGAGCCAGAACAACAAGGGGAGCCTGTTCCCAATGCGCGTGTGCGCAGGAGCTGCTAGAAGGCAAGAGCAGCTGAAGCAGCAGGGGCGACTTGGGAGTAAAGCTGGGAGGGGACTGCCCTTCCCATCAGGGATAAAAGTCAGCCCTCGGTGATGTGCTCTTTGCAGGAAGCAAAGAAGTTCATTAGATTCTGATTCCTCATTGAAGCCCTGCAAACTCTGGTCTGTCATTGCTGTAATTTCTGTCGGTTTATATTCTAAGTAATTGGACTTCTGTTTCTTGGCAGCCTTCTACAACCCTGAAAGGAGTGAGCTTATCTCAGGGAATTGTGTCTAATGAGTTTTGGCTGGGAATGCAAGAAATTCCCAGCATTGCATTAAAATAGGTTTGATTTTACACTCAGTTTGTGTTTCCTTAATTTGGACAAAGCCTGGGTCAAAACACAGGCAGTCTTTGATTTACAACAGTTCATTTAGCAACCATGCGAAGTTACAATGGCACTGAAAAAAGTGACTTATGACCGTTTTTCATACTTACAACCACTGCAGCATCCTCCTGGTCACATGATCAATATTCAGAAACTTGGCAATGGACTCATATTTATGACAGTTGCAGTATCCTGGGGTCATGTGATCCCCTTTTTTTTGGGAGGGAGGCTTCTGACAAGCCAAGTCAACGGGGAAGCCAGAAGCACTTAACAACCCATTTACTAGCTTAACAACGGCAGCGATTCCCTTAACAACTATGGCAAGAAAGCTCATAAAATGGGGCAAAACCCACTTAACAAGCCGAATCTGGCTTCCTCCGTTGACTTTGCTTGTCCAAAGCCGGCTGGGAAGGTTACAAATGGGGATCATGTGACTCTGGGACACTGCAATCATCACAAACAAATGCCAAGCTGCCGAGTACACAAATTTTGATCACGTGACAACAGGGAATACTGTAATAATCGTTAAGTGTCAAAACCGGTAATTGTGAGAACCAGTCGTAAGTCCCTTTTACAGCGTCACTGTAGGTTCAAACAGTCACTAAACGAATGGTCGTAAGCTGAGGACTACCAGAAAATAAAAATATTAAGAAACCGTGAAATCATTTCTTTGCAAGGTAAAAGCATTGCGATGTCCGGTTCTCACCATTCAGCTGTAAAGGGAGTTCCTGGATTCTTTGCTGCAGGCCCTTCATGGCTTCCACGAATTCCGCGCTGAATTCCTGCACCACTTCCTCCAGCAACCCAGCGTCTCTCAGGCCTCGCCAGAAGGTGAATGCGTCATCTGAAGTCGAAAAGGAGAGACGTCTTGACAACCCAAAGGTGCTTTTTTACTTTCCAAGAGGAAACCGGACTTTTCCTTGCTTTTCCTTTGCTTCGCTTCTCATTCAAAAAGGTTCTTCTTTGGTTCTGACCGAATGGTGGGGAAACGCAAGATTTACAGCTCAAGTTACAAATGTATCGGACAGCCTGCCAATTCCATTTGTAACTCGAAGATTCGTAGGCGTGAATCACGTTAACTTGAACGTGATCACTCCCTGCTTTTGCCTACGCATTTGCTAATTGAATGTGCCAATTGTTAAGTGCACGAGGTATCTCGGGGTGGGGAAGGCCAGTGATGGAATAGACTACCCAAGGCGTCCCCGACCGAGATACCTCATGCTCCCCACCTCCCACGCAGGACTCACTTACCTTGTGAAGATCTGACTCCTCTCCGCCACGGTTTCTTTGTCTTTGAGGGAGAGGAGAGCAGGATTTTGGCTCCCAGCGTCTGGTTGGTTTCCAAATGCTTTTTGGGGTGGGAGTGAAATGCCGGGGGTGGGGGGGTATGATCTCACACAACTTCATTTACCCATTCTCTGCAAAAAACAGACAGGTACTTGAAGTGACGCAAGATCACAGCCCCCCCAGAACCTTTCATTCTCGATGTAAAAAGCACTTGCAAGCCGACAGGATGCTGGGAGCAAAATCGTCCTGCTCTCCTCTCCCTCAAAGGCAAAGAATCCGTGGCAGAGAGGAGACAGGTCTTTGTAAAGTAAGTGAGGTGCTGTAGGATGGGAGTGGGAAGCAGCTGTGGGAGTGGGCTGGGGAATAGGGTGAATGTTACAGTGCCTCTGTGGTCGTTTGTAAGGGCGAACAATCTGCCGTAGTGCCGCAACATTTGTAATTTCAGAACTTTGTTATAAACATTTGGGGGCATTTTTGCGTAACTTTGAACAGTCATTAAGTGAACTGTCGTAATTGAGGATTACCTGTATATTCCTTGTAATCATCAGGTTGCTAGCATTCTGAAGGCCAGGGGTTAGCTCTTTCTTTTGAAGACGGCAAATTCCACAGTCTGGACCGAGAGGACCATTGGTCTGAAAGAGGGGTCAAAGAGGCCATCTGTATTAAAATTGGACAGCCCCCCCTCAACAGAGGGGGAGGGATATGACCCCACCTATCTCCTGTTTACGACACCCATTTGCACTATTCAGGTGACCCTGAGGGCACAGATAAAGCTCCAAGTGACCTCAAGAACAAGAGTGCTAATGACCAGAGGACTGCAAGGAGTATAAATCCTTCCATTCTCCGCCATTCAGTCAGTACCAAAGAATCTTCTTGGATGAGAAGCGAAACGTCCTCAAGGAAAAACAAGAAAAGTCCAGTTGCCTCTTGAAAAAGCACCACTGGGGCAACCATGACCTGGATGACTGAAAATCTCCACAGATGCCTTGACAACAAGACAGGTAGTGGAGGGAATTCAAGTAGTTGCCTCCTCATTACGCCCCATAATCTTGTTCCGGAAATGGTACAATCCAGTTGTAAGTTGTGCCAGTCATTAAATGGTTCACTGTGAGACTATATCCAATTTTACCATCTTTTTTTTTAAATAATGGTCATAAAGCGAACCTGTTGTTTGCTATGGGATGTTTTTTCTCCCAAAACCAGAATGCCCCAAATGTACAGAAATCCGTGGACTCTTACCTGAGCCCAAGCAGGTGCTAACCGTGAGTTGAGAAGATTCCCGTTCTAGGCTTTTTAGCAATAAAATCAGTTTAGTTGGATCTTTAGGTGTAGACCTAATCTTAAATTTTCTCAGCTCTTGGTTAGCACCTGCCTGGAGTTAGACACGGGTCAATGGAATTCGAGGAGGGTTAGTTGGACTTAAGTTTGCTTATGCCTATATACAGTAAGGATGCTCGATTGATCCCTCTTTTATCTCCACACTCAATTTCCTGCCATGCCTTCTCCTAAAGTACAGATAGCCCCCAACTTACAACATTCATTTAGTGACCATTTGAAGTTATAGCAGCAGTGAAAAAAGTGACTTGGGACCTTTTTCACACTGACGATCATTGCAGCATCCCCGTGGTCACGTGATCCTGATTGGCAACTGGCATCCATTTATGTGTCCCAGGATCATGTGATCACGCTTGGTGAGCTTCTAACAAGCAAAATCAAAGGGGGAAACTGGAGTCACTTAGCAACCTGGTTACTTAGCAACTGCAGGGACTCACTCACCAACTGTGGCAAGGTTGTAAAATGGGGCGAAATTCACTTTACAACTATCTTGCTTCACAATGGAAGTTTTGAGCTCAACTGTGGTCGTAAGTCCAGGCCTATCTGTACCTAATCTTTTGCCCATTTAATTTTGTTTTTATATTCCTGTTTTTAACTATGTGGTAAACCACCCACAGCGAGATCAGTGGCACATATATATATATATTTAATTAATAAATAAAAGCATGGGCACATCCCCCGACACCTGACTTTTAAGGCAGGGTGGTGGGCAGAATTCTCAGGAGTGAAAGAATGGCACGATGACATCACCTAAGCCCCACTCAAAAATAAAAAATAAAAAATCCCCAGCTATTAGCATCTCTTCAGTACTCGGAGAGGAGTCTTTTCCCATTCCACTTAGATGTGCCAAAAATTTGACCTCAAAGCTTGCTGCAAGGGCTTTTCTATGGCTCTGTGGCCCTGCATACAGAAAGGAGACCCATCTGCTTTTTTTCTTCAAAGCCTTTCAGGTTTTGCACTGAACATCCCGTGGGAGGATCTAAGACCAGACCCTACGAGCTTCACCTCCTATAGCCGTGGTCCACTCGGTGGTATCCTCGCAGGTTTCTATGGTGATGGTGGCAGGAGATCCGTTGACTGCAAGTAAAATCGAGCAACAATGATTATTGGACCCTTAACACTCTCTTACTCCGATAAAAATACATTCTCAGTTTTCCTATACATTAGACAGGAAGGCCGGAGAAAAATAAGAAAAGCCCTGTTCTCCATTAAACATTTCTCAAACCAGGGCTAAAATGCTCAAGAGAGAGTTGAGGCCATTTGTTTAATTGAAGCCATGCAGATTAGCCTTGGTGGTGCAGTAGTTCTGCAGGCTGCTTCTGCTGACTGTCAGCTTCCTGCAATTTGGTAGCTGAAACTCCACTAGGTTCAAGGCTGACTCAACCTTTCATCCTTCCGAGGTGGGTAAAATGAGGACTCAAAATTGTTGGGAGCAATGCGCTGCAAACTGCTTAGAGAGGGTTATAAACTTATAAAGCACTGTAAAGTGGTATATAAGTCTAAGCGCTATTGCTGTTTTGAAAATAATTTGGAAGAACTGCATTGGACCTCATGTGAAAGTAGTACCTTTCTGTTGTTATTTAAAGTAGGTTTTTTTTTAAAGGCTTCCATTTGGCCTTGAAAAATAAGACACCACGGCCTTAAAAATCAAATTAGCCTTTACGAATGAACTTATAGCAGTGTGACTTCTCTTTACAGGCTAATTAAAAAGAGTGACAGATGTTGAGCTGCCTTAATTAAATATTAGCAAGAGGCTCTTCACATATGCGCTCCAAAGCATTTTCAGCGATTGCTCAGATGTATTACTTCACACTAACCTGGAATGTTAAGTCATGATTTAATACAAGGTGATTACAACGCCCACGCAAGGCTGAAATTACAGACTAGAAGCACAGAAACCTTGCTGCCTTTGAAACTTTCATCTGTCAGAAACTGTAAATAATTCAGACAAAGAAACCTTAAAGGAAAATAGGATGTATTTTGACATATTGTTGTATGACACATTTAGCCTATCATCAATGGCTGGATTTGGAAGACAGCACGGAACTGTCAAGGAGCAAGATAAAAAATATCCAAAATGAAAGCTTATAGAAAGAGAACAAAGCCTATTGAAGTTTCTTGTCTCACATGTATAATGAATCAAAAAGCCGTTAGCAGGCTCTAAAAAACTAGCTGGAGCTCTCAACACGCTCTTATTTCTCCTTCAGCATGTTTAAAATGCCCACAAAGATGGCTGAGGGAGGAAACTGGTCAAGTCAAAGAGTATCTGAATGCACCAGATGGCAGTCTATGGAGTGGAGAGTTGATCTCTGACAGAAAACCACTTGAAGAGACTGGAAGCATTTGAAATGTGGATTTACAGGTGGCTGTTACGTGAAAGTTGGGTTGACAAAATCAGAAATCAGGAGGTGATAAGTCACCTGGGAAAGCCAAGGGAAATCATCAAAACCATTAAAAAAAAGAGTTAGAATATTTTTGGACATGTAATGCGGCACTTGGAAAAATACGGCATCCTTTGCTTAATCCTCCAAGGAAAGATTGAAGGCAAACAAGGTCTAGGCAGAAGAAGAACATCAGGGCTTCAAAATCTAAGGGGCTGGTTTGAACAAAACTCAACAGCACTTTTTCGTGTGGCAGTTGATAAAAATAGGATCGCCAACGTGATCGCCAACATCCGATGACAGTTATGGCACAAGAAGCTGGCAGTGCTTTAGAAGGGACAATGTTTCTCAACCTTGAGGACTTGAAGATACGTGGACTTCAACTCCCAGAATTCCCCATTCTGGGAATTCTGGGAGTTGAAGTCCTCACATCTTCAAGTTGCCGAGCTTCTGGTTCAGATGGATGGGATTGCTGAATGACCAGGAAGTCCTCCAAACTGCAGCAGGCAGATAGACCTGGCAGCCGTTTCTGATGTTAATTGTTGAAATATCTACAGAAGTTTGAACCACTTGAGGGAGAAACAGAACTTAGTGGTTTTGTAAAGAAATGCTGAACTGGTGGGATTCAAATAATTTCACAACCGTTTTGCCCAGGGTCAGGTTGGCTGTGGTGGGAGGCGTGGCCCAACCTGACCCTGGGCGAACTGGTTGTTAAACTGCCTTCTCCCCTCCTCTGCTGTCAAAGTGGATCCTGGGCCCTGCACTGCACTGGGGAAACGGGCAATCGAGTAGCCGGCATGATGGGAGGAGGAGGAGGAGGAGCAGGGAGAAGAAAGAGGGAAAGTGGCCTTCCCCTTCCCTCATGCTGGCATTTCCGTTGCCCGTTTCTTCATCGCAACAGCCAGGAACCACTGCGATAGCGGGGGGGTGGGGGGTGGGTAATTTAACAACCGGTTCCCCTGAACCGATGCGAACCGGCTGAATGCCATCACTGGGTAAACAGCTGGTGGGAATTAAAACTGCGCTTGCAGGGTCTCAACTGTGGCCTGTCCTTGGGTTTTGCTTCCCTACATACCGTCTGCAGAGGCTGGAGTGAGAGGGGTGTACTCTGCTGAAGTCTGACTGCTGAGAGAGACTCTGGCTCCGGTCAAATCGATTTTAGTGCTGCGGCAGGTATTTGAGCAAACTTTTGTGTGCTCGTAGAAATCCAGCTTGCCTGAATCCATGATTTTCCTAAAAATGATAGAAGAGAGGATTTGTAGCTCAGGGCTGAACTGTGGGGCCCTTGGTGTTCTCTGAGCTCGGTACTTTTCTCTTGGACATGTCTTGACCCAACTAGAGAGTGGTGCAGTGGCCTAGAGGTGGAGCTCTCGCCTCACAATCAGGAGGCTGTGAGTTCGATCCTAGGCAGAGGCAGATATTTCTCTCTGTGGGCACAAGGAGAATATATCTGCTGAACAAAACTCCACATTGGCGGCAGGAAGGGCATCCGGCCAGTAAACACTCTGCTAGCTCCCTTCAGTTGCCCAGACTCCACCCTGCAAGGGATTAATTAAAAGAAGATAAATGATTTCTTTACCCAACTAAGTAACATCATCAGGACTAGAAGGGGAGTGGAGTGTCAATTGTCCGACTAGCGAACCGAAAAAAAGTAGACACTCTTGGGAACTTTGTCATACCAAAAGCAAAACTTTATCGGATACACCATTTTGGGACTTAAGAAATAAAACCAGCTCTGAAGTTCTCCTGCGCAATGCTACACAGTTAAACATTGGCCTCCCCTCTGTCCCACCCATAGTGGTCACACTGTCCAATTATGAACCGGTCTTCTATTTTGAGAACAGTTCGTTTCTTTGTCGGACACCTGCAGTAGTGACCTTGGTGGGTTCTTGGCTCATGCAGGCTATTCTTGGTTCATCTGCATTCCTTCTTACCTGTCCCTCCCCCAAGTTCTTTGGCAAGTTGATTAGTGCTAAGGTTTCAAATGGTCCAGAAGCAGTTCAGACTTGACATGGAGCTTGCAATAAGTAGTGATGTACCTTAGCATGATCCCATTCATCCGGATTGCCCTCTTCCAGTCCTTCAGGGTGGACTTGCCAGCCAAATGCACAAATTCCTTAGGACTGATCAAATGATTGTCATACTGCAAAGAGGAGAGGGAGGTAAGATGTTAACATGAAGAGGGTAGGTAATTCAAGTAATGGCAGGCAGAGGAGAGGGCCTTGGGAGACAGCGGGGGGAAGAGCTGCAGACTAGTCAACTGTCAGGTAAGAGGCAGCTGAGCCTACAGGAGGCAACCATCTCAGAAGAGACCCTCTCTAGTTTCTTGGGACGTAAAGGTGAGGGGGAAGAGACGTACTTTCAGACTTGCGAGATTCTGTTCATGTAACCTTACAATTAGGTAGAATTAGTTCATCTGAGTGTGCTTCCTGCCTGGACCACGTCCAAAGAATGTCACGTATTGGAAGAGAGACCCATTTCCTCCCCACGAGGCTTCCAGAGATGCACCTGGAATTCTACGGTCTCCATGTGGGAAGCATCTCCTAGGGCAGGGGTCGCCAACCTTTTGGACCTCAGGGACCACCAAACTCATAATTTTAAATCCCAGGGACCACTAACCGGTTCTATGGGCGTGGCCTAATTTGTGGGTGTGGCTTGGGGGTCATGTGACTGGCTGGGCATGGCTTGTATGTAAATTATATAAATATTGAATTTTTTATTAAAAAAGAGCAACTTTTACCCAAAATCAGGCAAAGCAGGCAGGCAGATTGAGTTGATCACAGAATCACAGATTCATTCAGAGATCTATCTATCTGCCATTGGCTAGCTCAGTCTGTCACATAAAATTTGCTTGCAAGCAAACTCATAAAATTAACACACAACACACCATGTATGTAAATATTGATTTTTTTTATATAAAAAAGCAACTTTTATCCAAAATCAGGCAAAGCAGGCAGATTGAGTGGCTCACAGAATCATTCAGTGATCTATCTATCTGCCATCAGCTAGCTCAGTCTCTCAAATTTGCTTGCCATGAGTCTGCTTGCAAGCAGACCTTCAGTCCTAAGGGAGGTTTGGCTGTGCTGAGCCGAAGATCTAAAGACTAACTAGAAAGCAAGAAATCCAACCATTTCCTACTTCCTAGCTAATCTAAATCTCCTGGCACAGCAGAACAGATGATGGTTGGAAAAAGGAAAAATAGCAATTTAGCAGGCAGGTTTATCGGGTAAGGAGTGAGTGGGCGGGGAGGGTTCCCGCGGGCCATGTGGGCGGCGCAGCCTTGTGTTTCTGCACAGCCTGGATTAATTGCTTTGGGGAGGGTGCTCTGGGGGTGAGATTTCTTTGCGGCCCACCAAAATTTTCTCGCGGCCCGCCGGTTGGCGACCACCGTCTTATGGGACAGATTACAAAGATTATGCTGGGAGAACAGAGTTATCAGAAAGGCTCATGGCTGCATCAAACAGAAACAGGCAGAGTAGAGACTGAATAGGGGAAAGAGCACTGTTTCTGATTGGCTCTGCCCTAAACTCCCACCCTTGCCCTCCAGCTCTGGCGCTCAGTGTCTGACAGACTGGGATGCCAGATCAGGTTCAGAATTTGAACGTCGGTCCACAAATAACAGAACAACAGAGTTGAAGGGACCTTGGAGGTCTTCTAGTCCAACCCTCTGTTCAAGCAGGAGACTCTATAACATTTCAGACATGTGATTGTCCAATGTCTCCAGAGTTTGGAGCACCCACAATGTCTGAAGGTGGAGTGCATGAAGACGTACAGCCCTGTTTTCTTTTCTATGCTTTCAAGAACAATCCTGAAAAGATAGATACGCTGGAGATTGTTACTGGACTACGACGAAGATCCCTCTCCCCAGTTCATTGTACTCCCATTTCTAACTTATCTAATTTCTATTGATTTAAATATTTAATGTTTTGTACTTCTGGTTTTACGATGTTGTAACCTGTCCAAAGTCATATGAGATAGGCAGCATGTATATTTAACAATAATAATGGGACTTTGGAATGCAAAGTGATAAGCACCTGCCACGAAACGCCTTAGACTTAACTACTGTTGATAAGAAAGACAAACAATTCTATATAGTGGAAGTGGCAATACCTGGAGATAGAAGACAAAGAATCGAAGATAATCACAAAATACGAAGACTTGCAAATGGAAGTAAAATGACTGGGGCAAAAGGAACAAGAGTACCAATAACGTTAATGTCTTGGGTACAGTCCCAAAACGTCTGGAGCACCACTTGAATGCCATCGGCATTGACAAAAATCCCCATCGGTCACTTACAAAAGGCAGCTTTACTTGGAACAGCTTACATCCTGCAATGATGATACCTTTAACACCATCAAATACCCACATCTGCCTATCCCAGTCCTTGGGAAAGACCCAAGAAGGAGATAAAAATGCCAAATCCAGCCTGAACATCTGGCTTGACTGTGTGATGAATCTTTATAACAATCTCACCTGCACGCACTTCACGTTGATGCCCGGGCAAACAAACTTCCGCCATATGAGGTTTGCCTTGCTGTCACCACAGGTGATGGGATAAGCCACCTCAGCTTCCAGGCACTCCTCTCCTTCTGCCATCTTCACTTCAAGGTGAGGAATCAAAAGAGTTTTTTTAATTAGGAAAAGATTTCACAGTCACAAACTACCAATGGCGGTGATGATGGTTGAAAGGTTGAAAAGGCATTACCCATATTATCAAATCCTTCCCCAATCTATGAAGTGGTGTTCATAGCAATGGGGCCTGTCACGGAAATAATGACACACTGGGCCCTTTCAAACCATGGTTTGTTGAAGAAGCTGGAATAGCTAGGTTCAGATATCACCCTAAATGAAAGCCAAATAAAATGCACTCTCAGCGCTGCCGCTCCATCAGAATGACGTTGAGAATAGAGCAGGAAGGATTTTAGTTTGTTAAGTTTTAAGTTTTTGTCTTTTACAGGTAGGAAGCAGGACACAAGTGAAATTCGGAAACAAACGGAACAGTTTCTCAACATCTTGTTGTTGCATTTAGAGTTGTTAGTGGGTTGCCCCAAGATAGGCTGAGGGAATTCGAACGTGAGCCAAGAACTTAGTGGGTGTATTTGGGCTGTTGTGGGGATAAAAGCTGGGAAATACAGGTAGTCCTTGACTGACAATCCATTTTTAGTGGTCATTTGTAGTTACAATAGCGCTGAAAAAAGTGACATGACTGTTTTTCGCATGTATGACCTTTGAAGCATTCCCCATGATCACGGGATCAAAATTCAGAACTAGCTCATATTTATGACCGTTACAGTGTCCCGGGGTCACACGATCCCCTTTTGTTACCTTCTGACAAGCAAAGTTCATAATGGGGAAGCCAGATTTGCTTAATAACCACTCAACAATTGTGGTAAAATGGGGCAAAACTCACTCAATAACTGCCTTGTTTAGCAACCAGCTTTTGGGCTCACAGTCAAGGACTAGCTGTACTGCCCTACCTTGAGCTCTCTGGGCTGTATGATGACAATAAAAATATAAACAAGTAAGATGTAACTCTGTAACCAGAGCAACTGTCAGGCTCCAAAAATCAAATCGTGGCGATTCTTCCAAACTGCGTTCTTTATTGTTTCACACCTACAGAGAGAATCTTACCAACTGAAGCCGATTGCTACCTACATGAAGCATATACTTTGGGAGCCATTAGGAAGGAGCTGTCGCACAAATGATCTGAACTGAGCTGTGTTTTGCTCCTCTAAAATCCAACCCTTTTGCCCTGGAAGTCAAAGGGAGGGAGACATAGAGATGGGTGGAAGGAGTGATGGGAGGGAGGAAGGGAAGGAAGGGAGGGAGGACTGGAGGGAAAGAGATGGATGGATGGGAGGGAGGGAGGGACTGGATAGAAAGAGAGATGGATGGAAGGAGTGATGGGAAGAAGGAAGGAGAGATGGGAGGAAGGAAAGCTGGAAGGATGAAGGCAATGGAGATGGAAAGAGAGGTAGGTAGATGGAGGGAGGGAGGGAATGAGATAGATGGAAGGAGGGATACAGGAAGAGAGGGGGAGGCATACTAATGCCCTTCTGAATTGAATTGTCTTACAGCTTTGAAGTGCCCAGCACTGACTGCCCAGGGCTAAGGTTCTCTCCTCCTGGGGTCTTTCTCAAATAGGCTGAAATCCCCAGGAGCCACGGCCACCCTCACGTTCGAACTAAAACCTTCCCCCTCCCGGCTAGTCTGGAGGAGACCAATATCCGGATTCCCCAGCCTTACCTAAAAGGGCTTCCTTCAGATGGGTAGAGGCGGTGAAAGCTGCGGCAGCCGCGGCAGCCGCATTTTCGGTCTCCAGGGTGTCTTCATTGAGGTCACTCCTGGTCAGAGAGGAAGGGACAAACAGTGAAGGAACAATGTGAGTGAAATGGCTCCTTTCGTCCATTTTCCTCCTGAAAATTGACCTGGCTTCTCCATGTTGGCTTTCTTGTGGTAAAATAAATGGTGACGTGGTGTCATGTGTTCTTGTTCCTCTGAGGTTGAGTTTGCCTACTTTTAAGAACTGCTAAGGACCAGGGGATTTTTAATACGCCCTGACATGTAAAACCACAGAACTCAAAGAGAGTGTGTAGACAGGCCTCGACTTACAGCAGTCCATTTAATGACTGTTCAAAGTTACATCGGCCCTGAAAAAAAGGGACTTATGAACGTTTTTCACACTTACGACCGTTGCAACACCCCAAGGGTCACTTGATCCAAATTCAGGCGCTTGCCAACTGGTTCATACTTATGATGGCCGCAGGGTCCCAGACTCACGGGATCTCCCTTTTGCGACCTCCCAATGAGCAAAGTCAATGATTCACTTAACAACCGTGTGACTCACTTAACAAAGGCAATATTACGTGATAAGTAGAGTCGTCCAAACATTTACATCCCTCTGTGCTTTCCGAAGCAGTACCATAAAAAGGAAGACGAGGACGAAGTGGGGGCTGCTGGTTATCGACTATTTTAAAACTTTTATTAAACAAGGTCTAAGGGGGAAAAGATACAGGCCACGTAAGGGTAAAAGAATCATGGGCAGAACTTCCAAAAGAAACATTTGTTAGCATTTCTAGAAGCCACGCTCTCATAATTCAGTTGCGTAATTTCCAAGAAATATATTTTCTTGCTGCATAGTTTTAGCAATAAACCAGAGGTCTACCAACCTTGGCAACTTTAAGACTTGTGGACTTCAACTCCCAGAATTCTCCAGCCAGCAAAC